TCTATAATTATTGATAAACAGATTATTTTTTCAGTTGAATTGATTGTTTTAATTGGTTGTTTATAACAGGTATGGAAAAGTATTTTAAACGTAAATCTGTATTTAAAGTATTGAAAATGATATAATTATGAAACGTTAGAACTCATAGAGAACAATTGTAATAAAATATCAAATATATTAAATTTTTAGCAACTTTTTCTTAAGCTCTCGTTTGGCCCCCATTATATTACATTTCATTTTTTTTTCATATATTTCAACGACACAATCTTTCATAAAATAATATTATATAAGGTGTAATTAAAGTGTAATTAAAGTCTATACAAGTTCACGTATATCCCATAATTTGTGAATCTCTATAGCTTTCATTGATTGGAAAAAATTTAATAGTTTTATTAATGGATTTAAAATTTATAAATATAAATACAATCTCTTTATGAATTCTTACATGACTCCTCATATTTCAATAGATTTCGGACCCATGAATATAAAGTCAAATTATTTATAACTTTGATAAAAATAAAAGAAATTTAATATAATTTAAAAATAAATATAAATAGCAATAAATTATCTCAATTTCAAAAATTCAAAGTGGAAGAGAAAATGAAATGAGGAATTGAGCTCTCGTTCCTATAGGAATTGGGAATCAAATTTTTATTCTATGCTACTAAGAACGAAAAATAAAATGGTCCATCATGCTTTTGAAACTCTGTTTAACAACTAAACATATCTTTAGTCATAAAATATATAATACATAATTTGTGCGTAATTCTCGACATTGAAAATGATTTTAATATTGAATTGAACTGATTTCTAATTTGTAGAAATTTATTTGTTTGATCTTTTAGATTGTAATTTTGTTTAATTTTTCAAATGGAACTAATTGTTGATATTTGATTGGCTTTTGTATATTGATGAAATTAGATTTTTCTATAAATGACAAAGTTATGTATTTTATATAAGAAACGATAAAGTTATAAATTTTATTTTCATATTACAAAGTTTTTTTTCTTTTTTTGGATGATTTATTAAGAATTTATATCATTTTATCGTGTAATTGTAAGAAATTCATTAATATTCAATGAATCCATTAAAGTATGAGAATTATTATGAATTTTGTGGAATTCTATTCAAATTCATGAAATTTATGAGAATATATAAATATTAAGATGTCAATTAAACTTTCAGTTGATGACACGCTGCTAGATGAGTTAAGATACAAAAGTTAATCCATGTTTGGCTAATGCTTATAAACTATTTACAAACAGTCAAATCACTATTTATCCACATATTTTGTGAGATCGAAAAGTATTATCCATTTATTCAGATTTTATTTATATCTCTTTAAACGTATATTATTTTGTAGGTCAACCCTAATATCAATAACGTATTAATTATTAACGATTTTTTACGCCAATAACATTCTCTTTGGAGCATTATTCAAAATAACGTATCATTTGGAAGCTAGGTAGTTTAGCTAATAATATTGCCTATTAAAAAACCGCCCTATAAATTGGTGAAAGAGTCTCTATACCTTCGTATATGTGTTTGCATCAAAGATAAACGATGTTAGAATGGTAATTCTACTTGTATAAGTGACAAAGAGACACACTTGTCTCCCTGCATTGGCGAGGATAGAAAAATGTCTTCCTATCCATATACAGGTAAGGACGTCAATTTGGCTTGTCGACTTGTGACTCGATTCTACTGAGCCTCAATTTTGAGAGTTGGCTTGAGCCCGAGCCAGCTCGTGTGGCTCTCCTGTAAGCAAATTTATTAATAATAATAATAATAATAATAATAATAATAATAATAATAATAATAAATAGAGGTAGCTGCTAAAATTCAAATCAGTAGGCAGCGAGTTGCATGGCTGCCTTTAAAAAAAATCTCGACTCGGCTCGGGTCAAAAAAAACGGGGGCCCGCACAAGCGGTGGAACATGTGGTTTAATTCGATGCAAAGTGAAGAACCTTACCAGGGCTTGAGGTAAATTCCATATGAATTTACCTTGTCCACAATCAAGGGGTTCGAATCGACCCATCCGGTATATTTTCCACGTTCATAGGAGTGCGTCTATGTTTTTGCTTTACGAATATCCATTTTGCAAGTTCGTTATTACGGGTAGTTCCTACAAAGGATCGGACTAATGACGTACCGAACCTCGCGCTTTCACTACTATTTGTATGTTTACCAAAAATACACCTAGATATGTAACTGTCACCCAAACATTTATCTATCCATCCATGAGGTAGATCAGCAGCTATTCCTCCAATACGAAAATAATTATGCAAGGCCCGGGAACGAATTCACCGCCGTATGACTGACCGGCGATTACTAGCGATTTCGGCTCGAACTATTCTTACTCAGCTAAGTCGAAATTTCGAGTTTCGGCTCGAGAGTTAATTCGACTCGACTTGTGGACATCCTATGTACGGGGGGGATTTAGGTGATCCCTTGTACACACGCTCCATGTTAGACATGAAGGTTCAGAGGAAGAAAGCATTAGGTCCCATTTAACTTACATTATAATTTCAAATTTATTTTCAACATTCTGTTTTGATAGCTTGTTTTAAGTTTGCAGAAAATGTGTTTGATTAGTCATTCTGGAAAACTGTATCTCAAAACAAGAAACTAAAGAACACATTGGTTTGAAATTTTTAGATATTTTTTTGATATTTTGTTTAATGAATTTGATCATTCATAAAAAGAGACTATTTTATGCTAATAAAATAACAAGTACGATTAACATTTCAAAATTGGTAAATTTTAAAACCCCAACCCCCCCCACCAACAACAACAACAACAACAACAACAACAACAACAACATAATAATAATAATAATAATAATAATAATAATAATAATAATTCGTGCTGCAAAAAAATAAGATACAAACAAATAATAATTAACTTGACAAAAAAGGAAAACAAAGAAGTAAAAATTAATAAGGGACAAGAAATGATATCTTTGACTTCGATAAGGGACAAGAAATCAAAACATATTTGGATATCCAGAATGAACAACGTAAAATTGATATGCAAAAAAAATAAAAAATAATAATAAAAAATAAAATTGTTGCTTAAGACTGCTAGGCCCTGTTTGATTGCAACATTTTCCATGGAAAATCTCACATGTAAGGAAAATAATTTTCACTTTAACTGTTTGATTCGCATTTGGAAATGGAATTTGAATTCTTGTGTACAAGCATTTAAAGCACGTTTTTGGCCAATTCCATGGAAAACAAAGTCTTATGGATATGGTGGTTTTTTATTTTCCAACTTAGGTGGAATTCCTTTTCCTTTGCCTCCTTCGCAATCAATCAGGGCCTAAATGTGATGCTGTAAAAATATTTTGCTAAGTCCTTTAAAGTGATATACCATCTCATGGTATTGGAAAGTCATTTGGATATTCTTGTAACTACCTCAATGTAGTGGCAAATCATTAACAACACTTCCTATCCAGCATAAACGAAAAATCATCTTCTAATTGTCTCTATTCCTCTTATGTTGGAGGAAGTGATAAATGTATTTTACATGCTTATTTGTGCTTATAAATTTGAATTGTATATGTAAATTTGAGCGAATTTCTATTTAATTTAGTGTAAATATTGTTATTGTATGTAAAATTTGGACTTGGAGGCGTTTGGAGTAAAAAGGGATATATAAATATATATATATATATATATATAGGTGAAGAGAGATGATTGTTAGTTTTAAAACTAATTACACTACATATTGTAGTGTGCCACCTAAGTATGATGCTTAGTATAAACTAAGTATCGGTGCTTACTCTGTGTGTGTATATATCTTGCATTTTTCAGCTTATTTCATTTGGTCCTTGCTTCATGATTTTCGTCTGATTTTTTATAATTTTACGTCCTAATCTCTGCTGAAACTTTCCACAGCTTCGACGTTGGTGCCCGAACCTCAAAGCAAGATATGTATATATATTAAGTAAAGAGATAGAAATACAGAAGAAAATGACTTTTATTGATTGAAAATTAATATAACAAGTTTGAAGAAGTGTTGAAATTACAAAATCTATAATTGAAAGAGAAGTTTAAAAATTGATACAGGGTTTCTAAACTAGCCAAAATAGCTCAGGGATAGAGAGATATAAGTAAACAGATAGAAATAGATAAGAAAATGATGTTTAGTCCACGAGAATCTAATCAGATTATTTCATGGATTTCAATCTTCTCCGTAATCAAGGAAGAAGAAATTGTATTACTTTTATGGGTTGTGCTTGGTGTGAGGAGGTTGTACACCATGTTGTACAACCACTATTTTCCTACTTTTATTATCCATTTTTTAGTGTTTGTACTGAAAAGGTCAAGACGTTAAAAATATATTTTGAATTTTATGCTATAAATTTAATATCTTATTCAGTAATGCATTTTCAGAAATATCAAATCAAATAAGATTTGAGTGTGACACAAAATTGGAACAACAAATTAAACATCCACTTTAACTTTTGATAGTGTATCAAGTTCAAGGGGTGTCCACATTGTGGTTATTGACAAGAATAGAACAATATGTAACATGATGATTACAAGATAAGTTGAATATCAAGAAATGAGGCCAATTTGCCTCTAATGGGTCCATTTAAATTTTGAACTATACAACTTTATGTCAATCATTTGGCTAATATTAATGACATTAATAGAACTTCTATTCTATACAAATTACGCAATAATAGGCTTTTCCTCTGTGGAATTTTGACCAGTTTTAAGATGTTGTGTTGTGATTTAAAAAACGTACGCTCGCACGGATTCTCAGTTTTCACAATCAGGTAAATGATTATATTGTATAATGATGGGGACATAAAAGGAGAATGGCAATGATCAAAGAGAAATTTTGACAGATGGTGAAAGCGTTAGTCTTTTGCATTATTGGGAAATATGAGCTGTTTCTGTACTTAGACAGAAATTATAGAGCAGATTTAATCATGAACCATTCCTTCCATTTTGCAAAATCCTAATTTGATCAGAAAAAAGGATGATAAGCTTTTGAGCTTGGAAAAGATGGAACAACATTCAACCAGAGACAGATAAACCAGTACTTTAAAGAAAAGTAAACAACTTCTACATTTTTTCCCCCTTTTTACTTCTAAACTTATTCAAACCCAAAAATGATCTTTCTAATTCTTAAAGAACTAGAACCAGAGTAAGTGGATTGATCGAGAAAGATTGCTTGTTCAAGCAAAATCTTTATTTGTACTGATAAATCGAAACGTTCAAGAGTCGTTCCAAGAAGGAAAAACCGGCAAGTCAGACATAGCGAGTGGAACCGGCCTCAGCTGAGAAGTCGGGATCCAGGAATTGGCATTGGTCGAGGGGTTGAGGTAGTTATTTGCCATGTTAGGCTTTACAAAGAAAACTGTCCCTCCTGTTTTATCCGGGCTTGTTTCTCTCGAGCCTGTAACTAAAGACGATGGACTAGTGAAGTTTTGTGTATAGGGATTGGTTGATTCTATCCCAATCAGATCTTGCAGAGCTCCGGAGAAAGACAAATTTTGATAATTTCCAGCATTGTACATCATTTTGTCACCGAGTGATTCAACAGAAGCATTTTGCACCATTTTCCAGTTAGTAACATTGCCAACTCTCTCGACCGGATGGAATTCCTTGTTTTCCGGATCCGTCTCCTTGTTACGCCTCGCTAACTCTCTAGCAGGAAGAGTATCACTAGCCATGATTTTCTCTACTTCGTACCTCGATATTTCAAAATTGGTGACCGCATTTACGCCTCGGAACTTGATTGCAGCAATGTCATAAGCTTCTGCTGCTTCTTCCTGCGTGCCTGAAGTCGAACGTAAAAATTAACTTCCCTGAACATAATTAAACTTAGATCAAGAATTTTTACTAGGAATAAAGCCTTAAATAAGTTTTCTATTCGAAATCGGCCATGAACAGTCCAAGTATCTTTTCAATCAGCCTTATAAAAGCATCACTAGTGGCTTAAAAAGTGAAGCACGAGAACAAAAAAGGACTTGATATTGAGCCTTTCAATGCTTTCCCTGCCAGATTCACATTTTTGAATGGTTTAACAAGGCATCGTGATTAAAAGAAGTTAAAATTTTGTTTATCGTGAGTACGGTCACTTGAAGCAACGGGAAACTTACTAAAAGTTCCGAGATAGAGGTCCTTGTTCCCTGCAACCCGGCCAATCCTAGCTTGCCAACGTCCGTGCTGATGATGCCTATAAGCGCGGGAAAACCCAAGTTTAATTTGATTAAAAAGCTGTTTAAATTCATAGAAGACTATGCTCTGAACATTGAAGGAACTTCAAATGAACCTTGTCACTCCTCTATACATTGAAATACCCCTTGAAAATCCACTACTTTTCCTGAAAATGAGAATACAGAAATGTCATATTAAATCCAAACTAAGTAAAAGTGTAAAAAGTCAGGAAACAAAGGCATCTAACAGAAAGTTTTAGATTAGTTTACCTTCTCAAATGTGCCACAAATTCCTGTCTGCTCATGTTTTCCATCTGTACGACTTCGTTGTCGTAGTTTTCCAACTGCAAAAGCAACAAGAAATTGTAAGTTGTTCATGACTACCTAAATACAAAGACGATAACATAAACAGGACGGAACAAATCACTAAGTACCGGAAAGTTGACATGAGTCGTAGGTCCCCAGTACTTAATTGCAGCAAGATCGTATGCTCTTGCGGCTTTTTCTTCCATATCATAACCCCCTGGAATGTGTTCATTATGGTTTAATAATTCACATAATTTTGCCTAGTGACTCTAATTTAATAGCTTTGTTAAAACTATAATCTTACCAAGATAAACTTATTTTACAAGATTTGATGGGAACAGCATATCCAGAACATGACAAGAAAATTTACAGAGACAATGAAAATGAGACAAATATGGTCAGAGACAAATATAATAAAAATACAAAGGAATACTGGAGGGATTTTATTTCCTTTGTTACCTTGTCTTCCTTTCCTAGTCTGGCCCTCCTTCTTGCAACTATTATCCCATAAATGTGCTTCATACCTACCCGTCCATCGATGTCTGGAAATAAAAATTTGTAGAAATATTAGTCAAACTCGGGAGGAACCCATATTTGTATTTAACAGTCCTTCATGTGCAGGTCTGTATATTTCTTTCATCAAAAGTACGACACCCCACAGAAAAGCCCCGAGACTTGGTGAGAAAGAACAGACATGGTGAGAACAATGAAAAAGGAAGGCTACCAGAAAAATAAGAAACTAAAAAAGGAAAGAACAAATAATCAAGATCGGCCAAGAAACACGCCATTATCTTATAATAACATGGACTATTAACATTAAAATAGATAAAAAATAAATTGGTTAGTTCATAAATATTTACTGACCTGGTTACACCTCTATATTGAGATGTTCTTTGACCAAAACTATCAATGGCTTTCCTGTGAACTTTTGGTTTTAATTTCAATTTCTCATGTCCTCTTTTTCTGTTTTCCATATCCAAACCTTCAGTCTCAGTTGGTGAAATTTGTCTTGAAGCAGTTACACAACTTGACTGAGAACCTTTTTTTTTTTTTTAATCTACCCTCGTTTCGAAATATTTTCAAAGTTCATTTCTTTTCTAAAACCCACATTTTCTTGCCCATCAAATTTGCAACAAAAACTTTCTTGATCATGTGATTTTTGCTGTTTAATATGAGAAATTTTGATTATGGGAATGTTGAATATTGGTAATAGTTGTGATGGATTTTTGAAATCTTGATTTTTGTCAATTAGTTAAACAATTAGTGATGATTTTATGGTATTCTTCTAATTTGTAAAAATTAGTAGTTATTTTCTTATCAACTAGTATTTAATTGTTACTTGTGATTTATTTTAGTGTGAAGTGCCAATGGAAAGATTCTTTAAAAGAAAATATTTCGTAGAAAATATTGATGTAGGGATATCGAATAAAATGAATTTTGATGTTGTACAATTTGCTACAAATCCTAGAATTAAGAAGAAGATGATCATTTTATTAGTGCTGACGTTATATCATTTTTAACATTATCGTAATATCATTGAATCTATAATCGAAAAGTTCGACATGGACAAAATTTTGCCCGCACTGGACAAAATTCCTGGGTCCGCGTTCTACATAACACCAATGATTATGAATATCATTATTTTAAATTAAACAAAACGAGAATTTGAGCAAGCAATGCTGGTTAGTGGATAGCATTAGATGGGGATCTGTGTTGTAAATATATATAGGTATTTGATCCTTATTATCTAAAAACTCATTTTTTTCAAATTAGTTTTCAATTACACATCTCATAAAAAATATTTTACACGTAAACTCAAACAAAATGATTTTGAAAAAATTGAACTTAAAAAAAAATGGAAGTTCAAACAAGATCCAAACCCAGGCTCTTGGTCGAGAACCTAGTACAGTGCCCATATTTTCGTAAGGATGGTTCAAAAATTTGTCATTTAACCATTTGATGTAGATTTTTTTAAAAATGGATTTTGTGAAAAGCGAGTTTTTTTTTAATAAATAATGTGTGGTTAAAAAATATTAAAAAATGTTATAAGTCCACTTACAAAATTATTTTATTGAGAAAATATACAATTCAAAATAAATTTGAGAAAATTTGAATTTTAAGAAACTGTACCAAACATATGTTTGTGTGTGTAGTAGTTCGTACTATTTAAAGTGTACTAATGATTTTATCACACCCAAATCTTACAAGTGTGCATATGTCGAGCCTGCTGCCTACGTGAACAGAAGGCTAATTTGGATGCCATTGCACTTTGTTCGGGGTGCCCTGAGGGCTACACAGGCAATCCATATCACATCGCCCAAATACAAATATAGGGGTATTAAGTGGAGTGAGCCACTCGTTGACTCGTCTCGTTCCATTAACGAAGTTGAGGTGACTGGACTCGTGTTCAGACTAGTTGGGGGGTGCGAGTTAGTTTATACGAGAGCTGATCGGCTCGCCTAGACCTGTACAAATATAATGCCCCAATCTAATAATTTGAATTTTTAATAAAAACGTGTTACGTCTTCGAAATTCGGGTCAAATTATATATTATTTTCTTTTAGTTTTATTTCATAGATTATCTCTGCATTCTATGACAAGTTCTAGCATCTAATGAAAAACAGATGAATTAAGTTACTTAGCTATGATTTGTTGAAGAAACAAAACTAAAATAAATTATGAAAATGGAAACGAACTTACATTAACTATGTTCAACCCTGCAATGCGCTATCTAATAAATTAAGCTCATTTGGACCATTTCTTGAGTTCAGAATTAGATGAATTTTTTTTAGTAATTTCTAAATTTTTTCAAATACAACATAGTAATGTTTTAGAATTTTTCAACATTAGTTAGCCACACAATTGGACATACAATCACATGCCAAAAGCTATTCCCTGGTACACTAAACACACAAAACATGAAATGGGCATAAATTATCTTACCGACCTCCAAATATCTTGATTTGAAAATCATTAAACAGAGCATTCATAGGGATTTTAAGTTCCACTGGTCTCATCCAAAAACTCACAGAATCCGATTTGGGATGACAGTTTGAGAATCGAACAAAAAGTTGAAATTTCTTCTTTATGTGTTTGCATGTTCGAATCCACACATTCAATCACATTTTCATGCCAACACTTAAGCTAACATGATTTAAGAAACATCAATTCATATAGTTAAAAGGAAATCTAATTTCATGCACAAACAAAATACAGGCTCAAACACAAATAATCTTGTAAATTCATTATCTTAGTCTACATTTCAACACACTTAAAAGTAAAATCCTACATTTGAGAATCTTGGACTTCGATTTAATTTCCCTCTCCTTGGCTTCTCCACAATCCATTCAATCTCAATCCATCCACTACCCTTTTCTCGATTTTAAAAAAAATGATAAAGTATAAGTGAGTATAAATCCAGTAGAATTTCTTAGGTACAATCCCCTTTGATCAAATATGCCTATTCACATGTTTAAAATAAGAATTTTATATCATAAACATTTTCACGTAGTTGGATTATTGGTGAAATTCTTGATTTCGAAGAATCCCCTAAGCTTGTAAAAATCGTTATGGCCATAAAACTAAAGTTTAACTTTTCATTTTTCATAATCGCGACTACATTTACACACATAAAATATACATAAATATTTATAGAGAAAATTATCAAGCACCACCTACCTCTATTCTTAACATGAAAATGGAAAATTCTTAGCTTTGAATAACCAAACTTAGAGTAACAAAATACTAAATTTTTCTTATTGCAAATAAGCTAAAACTAATGTAATTTGAGAGGGATGAGAAATGAAATTCAAATTTGAAAAGAGAATGGGTAAAAAAAAGTGATATTTCTCTTCTTGTAACCTCTCTCTCTAAAAAAAAAAAAAAAGGACCTAAATTGAAGTGTTATGGTAATCATAAACCTTGATTTTTTATTTTTTTTTAATTCAAAAAATAATGCTTATAATTTTTTATAAATAATTTGCATGGTAACTCTAACCTAATTTATAATTTTTAAGAATCATACGTATGACCATTGTGCTATAACCCATGTATTTATTAATTCTTAGGATTAAAATTCATATAAATTTAAATGACTTAGATTTTTTGAACTTTTAACCAACTTATGTGTTCTTGAGGTTTTCTTTCCTCATGTGGGTCGAGCCTCCAAGGCTTGTTTCTTTAATAGGTCAAATCAACTAAAACAAGCCTTTAAATTTCGAGACCGAAAAAAATAATAATAATAAAATAAAATAAAGGCCACAATTCTTATTGCTACATTCTACAGCAATGGTAATATTATACTAGTTCGAAAAAGAACTTGCTCCATCTAATATATCTCTTCTTCTTATTTTCTGTTATATTATACCATGTAAATTTCCATAATGGCTAGCCCATCATCATCATCTTCTTCGAACGAAACTAGTTTATCCAATTTCTTGTCAAACTTTAATGACAAGACGAAAATTTCAATCGTGTTATGTCGTTAGACGTGTTGAAAGAAGAATTAAAGTAATTATTCATAAACTATGGCAGTCGTACTTGTTGAGCATTTGCATTTGATTCAACTAATTCTCTTGTTTAAAAATAAAACTATTTTGATTGATGATTCATTGGAATATATGCATTTTATTTTTATAATACGTTAGATATATTTTCATCTATGCGACGTGAATTTCATTTTCCCAATTTAAATTCGGTTATACCCTCTTTATTAAATATTTTTTAGCCTTCTTATAGTCTAAGGGTGAAGATTCTTCATTATACCAGGTATGTGTCACGATGGAAACACTTTCAAAAATATTTTTCAGCGTGTACCAATTTTTTTTTCCTAATTGCAATGTTTGATCCACGTTTCAAGTTACGTGGGGCCAAACATTATTTTCAATACTAAAAAATAATTTAAGTTTTACCTTCGAAACGAAAAAAGATGCTTAGAAATAGCTTATTTAAATTTTACTTTCAAGAAAGAATTATAAATGTGTAATTAGTACTCAGGTTCGAACTATACGTATTTAACTTTTTCTTGAATTTGAAATTTATGAAACTCATATGCTTGAAGTACCTGGATGAGACGAGATATTAGTAGGGGTCGCATCTTTAAAGTTCTAGGGCAGGGACAAGGCGATACGAGGAATATGGTTCTCGTCTCGTTTAAAATTCATTTCAAGATATAAGTTTATGATCACGTAAAAAGAAAAGAATCGTCATCTTTTTTAAAAAAGAATGTAAACTATTTTACAAATTGAAAAAAGTAATGATTTTCATTAGAAGTGGGCGCGGTCCAATTTCAAAGGAAACCGAATCGAACCGAATACCAATGGAAATTTTAGAAATAGAACCATTGGTTCCATAGCTAACTGTGGAACCAAATCGGAATCGAACCAATTGGTTCCGATTCGGTCCGGTGCGGTTCTTTACATTGAAAATGTCAAAATAAAATGTTCACTAATAAAATTCTAAAAATGCTACCAACGTGATACTTTTAACAAAATATAGAAAAATCGAACATACTATTCAAAAATTTATTTAGGTATAGATTTACAAAGTGAAAACAAAATAAAAATTTCACATCTTATAAATGAAATTATATATTGTAAATAAATATATTTAGGTATAGATTTACCCAATATTCTAATTTGGCTTGAAAATCAATTAATCAAAGAATTATAAAAAGAGACAAGGAAAGAAACAAAATGAAGAAGAAAAGTGCTCGAATCTAAAATTAAGAAGGAACTCGATTATTTTTTATAAAAGTTTGGAGATTGAGTCATATATTTTACCCAAAAAAATCCAATGAGAACCGTCTGGCTCCTGCGATTTCCATACTAGAACCGAGAACCGGACCGAAACCGGTTGGTTCTTAAAAATTTGTCCCAAAATCAAATTATTTTTTAGAAAATTCGGAACCAAACCGACTGGTTCTAAACGGTTTCGATCCGATTCCATCGGTTCTTAGGAAAAAGTGTCCACTCCTAATTTTCATCAACTAAAGACATGAAAAGTGTAAAAGTAATAAATAAATAAATGGGCGCGATAAAT